CATGGACCAGATCCAGCTAGACATTCCTCTGTGAAGGGAACAGATGGTGGGTGAATTCCTGATTGACCATGGCTGATCGCTTCTTCAAGTTCAGAGAGAAAATAGTCACCACTGTGAAGGTTTCAATCACACAGGGCTGACTGCAGTCTCTTCAATGAGCACGTTTATTTGAGATGCAATTTGGAATGTGACAATGACATTCGGTGTATACATAAGGGGATCCTAAATATATGTACCTATCACTTTTCTCACCCCACTCAGCTCTAAGGCTTTTGCCCCTTGGTGGAAAAATAAAGCTCAAAGCATATGCCAACATACCCAAATTCTCATTAATTCCTCCTCTGTGATTTAGGATTTTTGTCTCAACTAGGGCAAGGTTATTTGAGTAGCAGCTTTGAGTAAAAGTGAATAGTCCCTTAGAGGAAAAAGTCAGCAATATTTCTGTGTCTGAAACTCCTCCTCGACATTTATTTGTCATAAAGAAGTCAACGCACTTTATGGCTGGCATCTAACAGGGTCTATTGGGACATCCAGGGTATGTGTTGCAGGCTGGTCCTCTGACTGGCACAAGCAAAGTCTGGATATTTGGGGCCAGGGTGGGTTTGCCGAGGGTAATGTTCAGATTTTTGCTTTTTATTAGAAATGTATATATAATTCTCCTTCCCCAAATTGTAATCCAGGCTTGACCAGCAAAGGTATCTGTATCACAAGGCCCACTTCTTGCCTTGTGATTTTGTGTCTTCCTTCTGATAGTGAACAATATTTGTAGTGCAATCCGCAGCCAAGAGGCTTCCTTCCAGGCAAAGAGCCAACCACTCCCAGAGCCTCCTGGCCTCTGCCTACATTTATATTTCATATTACTACCGCGAAAGCAGTTTCACCCTCAATATTCCCAGGTTCTTTTACCCAGTGCTAGTCTAGAGTCCCTGCACTTGATTTGGCCTAGGTTTTAGACACTAATCTGCTTATGCCTCGCTATAAACTGAATATGTGTCCTCCCAAATCCATGTGTTGAAACCCTATCCCTAATGTGGTAGTATTAGGAGGTGGAGCCTTAGCAAAGTGATTAGGTCACGAGGGTGGAACCCTCTTAAATGCGATTAGCACCCTTATGAAAGAGGCCCTAGAGAGCTCCCTCACCCCTTCCACCATGTGAGGACAGAGTGAGAAGATGTCCATCTATGAAGCAGGAAGCAGCAAGCAGGCCTTCACCAGGCACCGAATCTGCTGGTATCTTTATTTTGGACTTCCCAGCCTCCAGAACTGTGAGACATAAATGTTTGTCATTTAAACAGCCCGAAAGGACTGAGACACACCTGGTCACCATGCCTGGGCCACTGGGTTGGACGTGGGGAACCTCCTACACACATCGGTGCTGCGCTGCCTTTCACACCTTAAACTAGTGCTTCTCGTTCTAAGTCCAAGCCCCGTGAGCTCTTTCATCCTTTCAAAATGGTTTAAGGGAGGGATCTTCAGTTAACCTCTTGTAAATCTGAACTGGTCAATTCCCAGTGGGTCAACTAGAGCAGAAGGGACACCAATTTGAATTCCTCTCCTACTCATGACATTTTCAGCAAAGAGTTTTGGCCTTCACTTGCAAAATCCCGAAGGTTATTTCCCCCGATATTAGACATCACAGCTTCCTCTGCCCTCTCCGCATTATTCTGTAATATTAATCATTTTGCTAGTTAATGCCACGAATGCAGACTGCCAGTCCAGGGGCTCCCTAAAGTGGTTATTTTTAGTTACTTGTGACTTAGGTAATGTCGTTTCTGTATATTTAACATTAAAGAATGTGTGGCAATTATTTGGGGGGAGGGAATGAACGAGATAATGTGAGAACCCACACTGCCTCCGCTCTCTGCACATCTTGTTCCTGTGCCCACACTGCCCGCAGAAGCTGCACCGACTCCGGGTCTAGCTCTCCTCATCTAGTTTCCTTCACTCACACTCACCCTGACATTAGTCTAGAGGCTGCTATCGTGCTTTTAGACTGATGAAAACAAGAAGCACATGCTTGCTTAAACTGGCAGTCCATTTCAATGGGAAGCCAATAGCCATGTGTTTAAGATGAGAAAGAGTTCGGTAAGAACAAATCCACTTTATTGGATGAGTTTTTAAGAATGCAGTGGTGTTCTTTTTAGTAAGAAGACTGACAAATCCTACACAGGGAGAAAGATTTGACATGGCAGTTTAAGGAGATGTCGTTAGCAAACACCAAGCCAAGCAGAACAACTGGCTTCTTCCTGAAAGCAATAATTCCCCATCTAATCTGTCTTTGCAGCTCATTAATTCTCTGGTAATCAGAGAAAGGGGTTTCCCAATTATCCTGCCACAGGAGAACCTGCCGGTGGATAGAAGCTAAAGCTCTATGGCACAGCACAGCACACAAACGGGCTATATGAAGAGGTGAAAAAAACCTGCTGTCCAAGCTCAGGAAGATGCCCCAGAGGTGGGTGTTATGCAAAATGATGGCCCATCTGTGTGTGTTTGAGAGACGTTTGTTTGGCACCTATCATTATCTGTGGCCTTGAGGAAGCTAACTTCTCTGAAGCTCAGTTGTCTCCTTGATAACAAAGGGTTTCTAAGAGCTTCTCTGCAGTGTTTTGAGAATTAAATACAAGCACCCAGGTGAAGTGCTAAAATCACTGCTGGGAACACAGTAGGTGCCCAGTAAATGGTGTATGTGCGGAGATGTATTCAGGGCGTATTCTTAGGAAACAGGTGGCCAGCTGCCTTTTTCTTTTTTTTTTTTTCTGATTTTGGAAACTTCAATACAAAAAATTCTAGGGCTCCCAACTCACAAGAGACACATAGTTGAGGCCTGCTGGAAGTCAGGACATGGGAAAGTAATGTGAAAGAAGGTGCCCAGCTGTTACACATCATGAGCAGGGAGGGTTCTCCCCAGACAGACCAGGGCTCTTTCTCCTCCATCACGGTCAACTGCTCAAGCCATCATCTCAAAGCAGTAGAAGGAAATGACAGGAAATGGGCTCTGACTGCACACCCAGGGCGACATCTGAACCATGGACAGCCATTCAACTATTCTACCATCCTTCAGGCAATGGTGTCAATACCTGTCAGGTGTCAGATTGATGGGGAGAGGAGAATTCATGAGAACTTACTTTCTTCTGAGTTCATGGGGCCTTTTCCCAAAAGGGGATGTTTGTTCTCAGAAAGAAAGGACATAGACGCTAAGGCAGGAATTTAGCTCCCAGTGCTTTTAAGGACTGACCAGGGAGATAATGCTTTGGGATTGTGGAGATGTTGAGGCCTGTGGGAATTACGTGTGGCCTCACTTTACTGCCTGGCTCAATAATCTGTGGCCCATTGGAAGTGATGGGTGGATTCTGAGCCATGCAACTCAGGACTGTAACCTACAGTGGTGTGTGTACAGGCACAATGTTTTTTAAGTGACCAACTGAAGCTCTGTTCCTCATCAGACTTTACATTTAGTAAGACCATGTTTATATAAGAACTTCCAGAAAATGATCTGAAAAAGTCTTCAAGCTTTAGTTGGATCAACTGGTCATGAAGAAGGATTTCCTAGGAGTATGAGTGGCAGTCTTCTTGCATTTCCGTTTCCATGAGAGATAAAAGCTAATGTGCACACTCAGATTAGTGTGTGACTAAGCACAGTACACGTGGCCTCTGGACGATCACGGAGCTTTAGAATAGGACTGCATTAATCTCTTCCTCTTCTGCAGCCTTTACGGCTTCTGTAGTTGGCCTAGAGATAACGATTTGGGTCATGGTGGCCACTGCAGTGTTGAGCTGGAGAGCCACTTGCTTGGCTGTTTGGGGGACATTTAGAATCATAAACTGAGGTGTGAAACAGGCCCCAGGCCCCAGCCAGCTACAAGGCTACCCTCACCTATAGTTTCCCCAGTCCTTGCTTATCTGCCTCTCTGAGGGCTGTAGCCTGCAGGCATTGATCGGTTTGACTAAGGCAGGTTTTAGATCTATCTGAGGGCAAAGAAACAGTCCCGCTGGGCAAGCGTTGGATCTGGTGGGCCCGTGGTGAGTACCAGCACTGAGTTCCAGCTGCAGCTCCTCTCCCCTCAAGGCATCCAGTCTCAGTAATGGGCTTTAGATTCTTGATTGCACGCAGTTCCATACCTGGTTGCTATAGGCTGCCTGCTTCCATTTCCCTTGAGGGCAGTCCATTTTCCTAACCCCCCAAGACCTGCTTCACCGCAGAAGGAAGCCTGAAACTTCACTCAATGCCAGTCCCCTGGTGATGACCCCAGCTTGCTTGCTGCTTCCCTGTGCCCACCTGTCAAAATCCAGCCCATGTACCCAAGCCTACCCTGAAGATGACAGTCCATGAGAGGCTGGTCCCCATCTCAGGCTGCCTGCCTCCTCTTCTCCTCTGCCCAGAACCTAGAAGACCCAGCCTGAGGGGACCTGAGCCTGAGATCCAAACACAATCCCCTTTGCTCTGCCTTAACGTTCTGTCTCACTGTGGCTTTGCTTTTACTCGTGGGGAAGGTGCTTCACATTTGGGGCAGAAAATACTTCCATTTTCAAAGGCCAGTTGAGAGCTGTGAAAATTGTGGGTGAGACATTCATAATTTTGTGGCCAGGGAACATCTGAAACCTCTCTCCAGGTCTAAGTCAGCTAATCAGAAGCCTGTTTGCCTCAACACGACCAGACAGTCTCCATCCATTGACAGGAAAATCTGCACTATCCATCTGTCCATCCTCTTTCTGTGCCCTCTTTACTGAAAAAGAAAAGCCCTCTGAAGCTGTCAGTTTTAAGACTCTTCTCTGCTCTTTTTTCTCTTAACGTTCACGCCCTCCCAATTCTCCCATTGATTTCCCTCTCCCTTCCCTGGGCACTATCTGAGCTCTCCCAGCCCAGTGGTCTTTTGAGACACCTGCTTGCCAGCGGGGAGACCCAGGGGCTTCCTGGCACCAGGTGAGAGTTGGCCCAGCCTGGGCTTGAAGGCGAAGCTGCCTGTGCAGTCACCTCTCACTTTGCCTCACATCCTCTAATTCTCTGGGTAACAGAGATGTGCTGAGCCCTGAGGTCAGATACCTCAGAAAGAACTGGTGCCAATGCTTGTTTTAAAATTTTACGTGCTTGTCTTTCTCTTTGTTTCTCTTCCCTCTGGGCCCTCCCCGTTTCAGCACTGACTGGCTCATCTTGGCCTCTGAAACTCAGCTTTCTCTCTCCCAAGATCCACCACAGGCTCTCTGAGACTGTGAAAGAACACCTCAGCAAAAGTTAAAAGTACTTTGAGATTCTTGGGTCAAAGTATTAAAAAGAACCAGCTTCTGGGGTTCTCCCACTGGTGGGAGGCACAGGGTACAGTGAGATTAGGGGTGGCCTGGAAGTGGCCGAGATAACTATCGGTGTGCTCAGAGGTGCTCAGAGGTGGCCCAGGTGACTTTCTAAGAGTCGCTTTAAGGAGATCAGTTGTCCAGTAGGCTACATTTGACGTGTAGAACACAGCGGAGGGAAAGCATACACCCTTCAGAGATAGTGACAGAGATCACCAGGGGCCTTGTACTCCACAGCTCCCAATAAGTGGTCATCATTGGTCTCGAATTTGAAAGGAAGTGCCGGCATGACTCCAATCGACCTTAACCCATGAGGTCTGTGAGCTCACTCTAGGACAGGGTTTTGAGCTTCCAGGAGGGCAGAATCTCTCCTCTCAGAATCCACGACGAGCCTTCGGGTGGTAGTAGTGACAGGAAGGGCTGTGACAGCTCCCTCTAGGTGTCAGCCCCTGGAGAGGAGCTGCCAGTTGGTTCGTGAGACCTAAGTAGAGAGGTGATTGTGGGCTAGATGACAGAGGTGTATGTGAGGACAGAGGCCACCCTGTAACTTTTATTGTGGGGAAACCCTTCCTCCTCTGGCCTTTGGTCAGTGCCCACAGAGGCTGAGAGAGAAGAGGCAGCATTGCTGTGGGGGCCCAGGCAATAGGCCACCTGTTTGGAGGAGCCCTGAACAGGGAGCATCCAGGACTGGATATAATGTTCCTCCCCACAGAGCCTTGATGGTTCCTAGGTCCCCCAAACACCATGCTCAGCTAATTCACCCCCTTCACCCTGGCTCTGCAGCATCTGAGCTCATAGAAGCCAGTGAAGGAAGGTTGTAGGGACAGTGCAGCCCTTACACTGAATCCCTGGTCTTCCGGGACCCACTTAGCCCCTCAGGCTCATCCTTTCCATTCTGTTCAGCCTCTGCATCAGGCTCTGCTTTAGCACAGCTTCCCGGCAGGGGGGTGCTGGGGAGGTACTGGAAGAGCCGGCCTTCCCGCTTCATTTCTGCCAGCTCCTTGGCACAGCAGCTGGGTGTGTTGGTCTCATAGGTGTCATGGAAAGTGTTGTAGTCCACCTCATAGAAGCCTTTTTCCAAGGTGAGGACTGGTGTGAACCGGTGGCCCCAGAGCACCTCTGTATCCATGTATGAGCTCCGTGCTTGGCAAGTCATGCCTGGGGGGAAAAAGGGTATACGTATCAGGACTGGCCACAGGCATCCATCCAGTCATCTAATTATCCATCCATCCATCCATCCATCCATCCATCCATCCATCCATCCATCCATTTATCCATTCACCCATTTATCCATCCAACCATCCATTATCCATTCATCTATTTACCCATCTGATTATTCAGCAGGCATTTGCTGAACATCTACTTTGTGCTAAGCATGATGGAGATATAAAGCTAGATAAGGAATAGTCCTTGCTCTGAAGGAACATATTAGAGGTGAAGGCAGAAGATTACAAATCAAACGCAAGATTCTGGCATAGGTTTCTAGAGACTGGAGTGGATAATTCTAGAATACTGGAGCAAGGAATATGATTCTTGCAAATAGCATTAGGGTCTAGAAGACTGAGACAAGAAAAGAGGAAGACAAAAGGGTTTGAACAAAGATAAATTCAGAGAGTGGATACAGAGAAGCTGACAGGCATTTAGAACACATGGGGATTGTTTCAGGTAGACACATGGGCAGAAGCCTCTCTCTCTCTCTCTCTCTCTCTCTCTCTCTC